TCACTCACTCACTCACTCACTCACATACCCCCACAGTATTGCTGTTTTACACAACTTTCAGCCACTTTAAACTCACTACTGGCAATAAGTATCCAAAATGACGACAAAGTAGCTTACTTTCAAAGACAACTCAGTTTAGGAAATTACAGGAAAAATACAGGAGAATATTTTTTTCTGGCCTGTTTCTTTGTTGCTGAAAGAACAAATGTTAAGCCTTTTGCAAACCTGTAGAAATAGTCAGTACTAATAATAGACAGCACACCTGTTGAGCCCTTTGCCGACCAGTGGAAATAACCTGAGTTGAAAATAGATTTGAGTTGTTGTGAGTTGTACTGCCGAGCTGCAGGTGTGTCGAGAAGGTCATTTCATTTGCATTCATGATTTTTTTCAGAGGTGATTTAACTGGGTTTTACTTCACCCAAGTTTCAGTTTGTATTGAGACTTATCCTTTTAGTGTGCTGCTAAATCCAGCTTTACAGGTTTCTGCACTCCATGGTTTAATTAGATTTTTCATTTGTGTTCAATGGATTTCATTGATTTGTTTTTTCCCCCGCCACGTTGGATCAGTTCTGCCGTACCTCCCGAACTGCGCCCTTCTGCTGTGAGGGAAATTTTTTCTAAGTACATGTGAACTACTTGCTTCATACAAAAACTTGAAATTTCAGTATTCAAAGGCATTCAGTGTCATTCTGACTAGTTTATGGACGTATTTTCAAGAAATGAAAAAAATATTATTGAAATTTGTTTTGGCTCATTTGCCTCATCTGTAGTCCTTAATCCTTTACTTGATGTAGCTTGTAAGGCATATTAAGAAAATGGGCCATTTGAGTTGATAGTGTTATAAGCATCGCTGTTGCACTACAACATACAGATAAGCCCTTGCCAGTCTTCATGGGTCCTAAGCACCATCACTAATGTAGCTGAAACACACCTAAATGTTCCAAATACTTATTGACTAAGTACTTATTTCATGTCATTAGCCTGATATTCTGCATAGTTTCATTAACCTTGCCATCTTGGAACGGAGGTGATTACACTGTTCCCCGGAATATCAGCTGTGTTTCCATACAGTAACGATGTCCAGTAAAGATGATTAGATGGCTTCTATGAATGGAAGACAAGTCTGCAATATTCTTCACTGGGTTGTCAGTTAACACCAGATGAGTCTATCACTGTCTCAGCCTCCTGGAAGACTATTGTTAAGCAAATTGTAGGTTTCCTTCCCAGGTATCTGATTAGACTACCTCTTAACTGCAGCGACAGATGTAAATTTATATTCCTGACTAGGAATTATTGTCGCACAGAAAATTCATGATTTGCCCTGCATTTACTTTCATCAAGGAGGTTGGCATCTCCAACCAGCATGAGATGGTCCAGTTATCTTAAAGCTTACCAGTTGGCGCTTCCATGGAAACCTGTGATTGTGGGTTTGAATCCCTTGTCAGTCGATTCTTCAGCACCATACCCATGTTCTTGGGTTTCAGGGACGGTGGGGGTAGCAGAGTGGTTAAAGCGTTCGCTTATCACGCCGAAGACCTAGGTTCGATTCCCCACATGGGTTCAATGTGTGAAGCCCATTTTTTAGTGTCTCTCACCATGATATTGCTTGAATATAACTAAAAGCGGCATGAAAATTGCTCATTTACTCTTGGTTTTCAGCAGAGTGGGAAATAGCTGAGACCTGCATTCCGACAACCTTCTCATCAGTCGTCCCTGCCACTTTTAGTTGAGATACTGCGTTATAACTGAAATAACATCCAGAGAGGCATTAACACACTCACTCACTCACTCTTCCACACACACACATTATTCTTCAGGACCGCCATTATCTTGATTACATTGTCCGAGTGCAGAGTCTCACCAGTAGATTGCTCACCAAGGAGGGTTAATGCCATTCAGCAATAAGTAAATGTTCCTCACCTGTCAGATTGGCTGTCATGGAGCGGTGGCCAACATCTCTTGAAAACCTAGAACCCAAATCAGTTGGTGGTCATCTGATCAATTTTACCTTCGAGACTCTTTACTGAGCAAAGTGACCAATAAATCTGAAAGCTGAATGAGGTTGGCTCTGTGAAGTTATCACAGTCTCCATCTCGCTAGGGTAAATATTGCCACACGAATGGTTGATGTCTTTGCTATAGCATTGGGTCAATCTTTGCAGAGTCTGCTTAGTTTGTGGGGCAGATTTGTGTAATCTGTGGACTTATGATCACTGATTGCTGAAATGATTAGATGGACAACAAATGTGCAGTTTTGTAGACTCATGTTCTCGGCAGGAAATATTTCTTGATTGGTGACTTGATGATTTCAGGAGGGGCCTATCTAACTAAGTCAGCTCAGTTTGATCAAATCTTATTTGACGTAATGAGGTTGGAAAATCACTTAGAGCATGCATCAAATATTTCACAGCTTTAAAAAAATGTTTATGGCCATAAAGATCCTTCATTGCTGATAGATGATGCCTGATATGGAATCATGAAAATCTTTGCTGAGTCAGCTTATTTTCTGAAGCCCATTTGTTTCAATCTACCAGGGCCTAGATTTTCGAAGCTCTCTTAGCGCTAAGATGGTCGTAAGTGCCATGCATTAACATTAACTTACGACTATCTTAGTGCTAAGAGAGCATCGAAAATCTAGACCCAGGTTCTTACAAGTGAATATTCAGATGATTATTTTGGCTTCTGAGTGCACAGAAAAACAAAGCGAAAAGCAAAGATGTGATGTGCAACACTTTTTTTGTTTCGATAGGTCTAAGTAAGTTTGTAAGTCTACTTGCTGCACATGCAATTTAGTTTTTTCTGTCATGTAATTAAGAATCGTGACATGAAGGAATATAGCATCTGTATTGAGATAATGTTATTGGCTCCCTCTAAGCAGAATGCTGCTGTTGCCAAGATAATGAGAAATGAAATGCATAAATGTGATGAGGACGGTATGTGTTCTATCAAACAAGCTCATCATTGGCCAGAATCATGCAAGTTGTGTTACTCATCCGATTCCCAGATGATAACCATTAATCACATAGAGTTAAAGTCAGTTTTGAGGTGTATTTTCTTAAGGTGAGTGAATTGATATTTAGTGCTGCATTGGCAAGAACAAAGCCATAATGTGGCAAGAACAAATTATGCACACAAGTTTTAGTAAATACAAGACGTTTTTCAAAGTTTATTCTCTTTTGACAGTTGGCTGCTCCAGTATTTCGAAATGTTCTAAAAGCAGTGATGTATGTTAAAATATAGAGCTCTGTTATTTTTAGGCGAGTTTAGAATGACCAGTCCCCTATTTGATATTTTTACATGTTTAAAAGTAAATGTCCTACATGAAAAAATAGATTGATGTTATTCATTTCTTCTTCTTCCATCAAGTTAAAGGGAACATGTTTTAAATGTCTTTGATAAGTATTTTACTAAAGATCAAAATCTCATAGATGATTTTGGATCGTGTTCAATAAAGCATAATTGGCCACAAATATCCAAATAGACACTTGAAACTGTACCTTAAGTCTGTAACCATGGTAGCAGGTAGCAAAACATCTACACTTTTCATAATCACCTAACATCCATCATGATCACCTTACACTTTTCATTGAGTCTGTGAGGTAGCCTAATGGTTAAAGTGTCCGCTTGTCACGCTGAAGTCCCAGGTTTGATTCCCCATGTGGGTACAATGTATGAAGCCCATTTCTGGTGTTCCCGCTGCGATATTCCTGGAATATTGTTAAAAGCAGCATAAAACCATACGCACTCTCTACACTTTTCATGATCACCTTAACACCTGCAATGATCACCTTAACACCTACCATGATCATCCAACACTTTTTTTTATCACCTTAACACCTATCATGATCATCCAACACTATATGATCACCTTAACACCTATCATGATCATTCAACACTATATGATCACCTTAACACCTATCATGATTATTCAACACTTTTATAATCACCTTAACACCTATCGTGATCATTCAACACTATATAATCACCTTAACACCTATCATGATCATTCAACATTATATGATCACCTTAACTATCATGATCATTCAACACTATATGATCACCTTAACACCTAACACTTATGATCATTCAACACTATATAATCAACTATCATGATCATTCAACACTATATGATCACCTATCATGATCATTCAACAATATATGATCACCTTAACACCTGTCATGATCATTCAACATTATATGATCACCTTAACACCTGTCATGATCATTCAACATTATATGATCACCTTAACACCTGTCATGATCATTCAACACTATATGATCACCTTAACACCTATCATGATCATTTCATGATCACCTTAACACCTATTAGATCATCCAACACTATATGATCACCTTAACACCTATCATGATCATTCAACACTATATGATCACCCATCCAACACTATATGATCACCTTAACACCTATCATGATCATTCAACACTATATGATCACCTTAACACCTATCATGATCATTCAACACTATATGATCACCTTAACACCTATCTAGATCATCAAACACTATATGATCACCTTAACACCTATCATGATCATTCAACACTATATGATCACCTTAACACCTATCTAGATCATCCAACACTATATGATCACCTTAACATCTATCTAGATCATCAAACACTATATGATCACCTTAACACCTATCATGATCATTCAACACTTTTAATGATCACCTTAACACCTATCATGATCATTCAACACTATATGATCACCTTAACACCTATCTAGATCATCCAACACTATATGATCACCTTAACACCTATCATGATCATCCAACACTATATGATCACCTTAACATCTATCTAGATCATCCAACACTTTTATGATCACCGTAACATCTATCTATATCATCCAACATCATATGATCACCTTAACACCTATCATGATCATCCAACACTTTTATGATCACTTAAACACCTATCATGAGTATGTTTATGACATCATAACAACGAGACGATTTTGACGGCAATGTTTGTTTGTTTCAGATGGCAGTCGAGTGGCGAGGTCTACCACTATTGATATATTGTTACGCTCGGACTTCAAGCTGCTCATCAACGAGGAGCAGTTTACAGTCAGCCCACCAGAAACACGTAAGGACGGAGAGAGAGCATGAGTACATTGTGTGCCTCACTTTGTGATTCCAGAATCAATAGCACTTTATTTACAGACCTGGGTGGTGACTTCCAGGCGCGATACTAAGGTGTGATTTCTACAAGGCCAAGAAGAGATGGATGAATCTCACGACATGTTTTGACATTTCGCAGGCATTTAGAAGTTAACTAGTAGAATGTTGTCCCACACTAATTATTTTATGTTCGATAGAGTATACAGCGTTATAAGGGACCAGTTGATGATAGCATTTTCCTGGATTAGAGAGGGAAACGAAGCGGATACTTTGTGTCTCAAGGACTAAGAGGGCGGTGGGGTAAGCTTAAAGGTTAAAGCATTCGCTCGTCATGACGAAGACCTGGGTTCAATTCCACACATGGGTACATTGTGTGAAGCCCTTTTCCGGTGTCCCCCGACATGATATTGCTGGAATATTGCTAAAAGCAGTGTAAAACCAACTCACTCACTCACTCACTCACTCACTCAAGGACTAGGCTATGGTATTTGTGACCTTCACTTCCCACACGTACCGACCCAATATGTGGACTGTGATGAGAACCTTGAACTTTGAATTTTGAACAACTTGGATAATTTTGCAGATTACATATATTTTCTCAAATTTGTTTATGTGCAACATAGGCCACTAGGCTTTCTGATACTGGTTAGCTTCGGCTTGTTCTTCACCAGTGTACATTTTTGTAGGCTGGCCCAAGGATATGGTGGCATTTTGTTTGAACTACAACCTTAAATGTGACTTTTGGATAGTTCTATTGTTTTAAAAAATCTCTTTTTTTCCAAAATCAATGGCTACAAAGGATATGGTGGCATTTTGTATGAACTGCAACCTTGAATGTGACTTCTGGATAATTCTGAAAAAGTAAAACAATTTGAAATGTCCAATTCTGTTTGAAAGCACTTTGATCGTTCTTTTAGACTTTGAAAGAGTGATAATTGCCTTGAAAATCCCGTAAGAAATCCTTGTGTTTGTGTCTCTGGATCAGTGTATACTGTTAAAGGGCATCATTAACACCACACCAACAGACTACAAATGATTATTTCCTTGTGTCCCATCAACAGAACCTTCTTCATGTTTAAAACCTGCACATCAAGACAGTCAGTCAGTCTCTAATGCCATGGAATGAGCAGTTGCGGCTTGTGTGTGATTTGCGAAATGTAAACTGAAGTGCAGGTACGCCTCCCCTGACAACCACAGATCCTCTTAGCTGGAATATGGCTCCACCACAAATGTCATACGCTAAACAGGAGCTACTCAGGTCTTCTTTTGTGCTCCCTGTTTGTCTGTATCAAGTCACACTTGATCTGATGGCTGCGTTTGTGTCATCTGCAAGATTGTAAGAAGGAATTGTGAGATCAGACAATATGCCGAACTGGTGGGTTGCCATAGGAATAGATCCTAGTTGTTATGTTTCCAAAGTATTTTCTCTTGAATAATTCTGACATTTGAGTCACAATCTTTGGATTTAGAGAAGTTCCGTTTAAAATAGAGACTATCTGAATGTTGGTGTCTAAGTGAATTAGCTTAAGGTATATAGTTACTAATAGTTCCAAGTAGTGGGTATATTTCATGACACATAGTAATTGGATTATTCAGTACTAATGTTTCTTCTAAACAGCTCTTGAGTTTATTTGGCATGCTGATATACATGATAGATATGAAAACTAATACTGGACACCTTTTTGAATAATAACTGACATTGTCTTTTTTGTCATTTCCATTAAACATTTATAATTCTTGTTATTTAATTTATGTTCACAACCTTCAAAGTTACTTTCCCACCTGGGGCAGTGAGGTAGCCTAGTGGTTAGATCATTTGCTCGTCATGTCAATGACCCGTGTTCGATTCCCTAATGGGTACATTGTGCGAAGCCCATTTATGGTGTTCCCTGCTGTGATATTGCTGGAATATTGCTAAAAGCGCTGTTAAACCAAACTCACTCACTCACTCACTCACTCACTACTTTCCCACCTACTTCTATATTCCTTTGTAATTTGACAATTGAGCATACCATGGTACACAAGCCTGATGACTTAATGGTCCTTCACTGAGTATTTTTATCAGTATTAGGAAGGAAGGAGGAATAGGTCTCCAGTCCAACATGTTTGATTCATACCAGTCGTGAGGGTATGATGCTTTATGATCTGACTCCCTGGCCTGAGACTCTGGTGTCAGATACAGCTCAAGGGCATCACTGTTGATATTGCAGTCCATGCTAACATTTGAATGAAAGCCAGACAGAAGATGAGAAATGTTTGTGATGAAAACCATAAAATAAATATCAAATATTAGTGAATTATTTATTTAGGTTCATTCGAAACAGTCCAGAATCCATATTGCAAACCGGATGCAGTGTTATTGTCCCCTGGATGATGATTGAATTGGAAAGGTGGTCATGAGAATGTAGCTCCCTTGCAGATCTTCACTGCATGAAATATGGTGACTGATCGATGAATATTATGTGTAGTTGTATTGACATCTCTTGCTGTACCTACAATGCACCATGTGGTTCCTTGGACTGGATATTTCCCCTGGGTTTGCAAGAGGAGCCAGCAGTCTAGAATGATCATCTTCTGGGTAGTCTTACCCGTGAAGATCCGGGGTAGAATAGGTGTTCAGCAACCCATGCTTGCCCCAAAAGGCGACTATGCTTGTCGTAATAGGCGACTAACAGGATCGGGTGGTCAGGCTCGCTGACTTGGTTGACACATGTCATGGGTTCCCAATTGCGCAGATCGATGCTCTGCTGTTGATCACTGGATTGTCTGGTCCAGACTCAATTATTTACAGACCGCCCCCATATAGCTGGAATATTGCTGAGTGCGGCATGAAACTACAACCTCCGTGATAAACCGACAAGCCTGGAAATGTAACCAAGGAGAACCAGGATTCAAACCCATGACTGGAGGTTTGTGGCATGCCCAGGGGATACTACCCTGCACAACAAACTGTGTTGCCTCAGATGACTGGTACACCAAGCACCCCTGATTTGCTGAGCCTTGCCTTGATGGAAGTATTGACTAAATGTGTGCTTAATCACCATATACATACTGATACATGAAGCTACAGGGTGATCTTCACTATCTACAACCTACACATTGTAGAGATGCGCCTACAATAGCTAGCAGTTCCACCAGAATGTTCTGGTGTCTGAAGTTGGTCTCAAATGGTGTTCAGGTGGTCACGCCTTGGCTGATGGTGTACCATTGTACACTGATTAACCATTGTACCATGACTCATGCCTTCAGAAACTGCTTCGCCTGGTCCAAGCTCTGTGTTTACATGCCTTGTGACACAGATGGATTATGGCTCACTGTGATGTTAAACAAGATTAACATTATGTCTTTCAGTGGCATTTAGAAGTTGCACATTGATGTCCAAGAGGGTTTTTATGATTAAAGCTTTTTCACTGTCACGTTTGAGACCATTCCAAGATGGAATACAATGTGTGAAGAATTTCTGGTATCCACATCAATATTGCCAGAATTTCTAGCTGAAAGTGGGGCAGTAGGGTAGCCTAGTTGTTAAAGCATTTGCTCGTCACACTGAAGACCCCCATGGATACAATGTGTGAAGCCCATTTCTGGTGCCCCCCATCGTGATATCGCCGGAAATAGCTGAAAGTGGCATAAAACCCACTCACTTCAAACAAGAAATCCTATCATTTATACTTTCTAAAACCAAATTTTTAGTACAATTGACTTTCTCTTGTTTCCATGGAAGACAGCGTGGTCTTCTGTGTGCGTTGTGGGATGTTTCAGTTACACAAAGTAACTACCACATGATGGAATGACCATCAGTCTCATTACTCCCTGCTTTTATGTGTAGTTTTGAGAAACATGATAATCCTTTGGGATGTGTACATAGCATTCCTGGCTCTCTGTGGCTTCTGTGTGATAGACACTTGGTCCATATGGAATATACAGTACAACCAGAAATTATTGAGAATTTAAAGACTGTAATTTATATATATTTTTTCACTCATTACTCACGTATTAATGTGAATATAAGCAGAACATAACTCCAGATTCAAAGACAGGTGAACAGTTAGTATTTTGTCAAGTCACCATGGGCAGCAGTGCAGGCTTCAATGCGGCGGGGCATACTACTGATCAAAGACGTTAGAAAGTCGTGGTCCATGCTGTCCCAATATCGGACCACCTCTTCTTTCATTTCAGCAATATTTGTCAGATTTTTCTTATTGACACTTTCCTTCATAAGTCCCCAAACACTTTCTATTGGATTTAGGTCAGGGCTATAGCTTGGCCAATCTAATAATGTCATATTTTGGGTCCGAAACCAGGCCTGTGAATGCTTTGAACGATGTTTTGGGTCGTTGTCCTGCTGGAAAATCCACAAATTTCCAAAGAACACGTGAGCAGATGGAAGTAAATGTCCCTCGAGAATATCTGTGTACCGCTCACTGTTCATATTCCTTCAAATACACAGAGGCGTTGTAATATCAACACAAGTCCCCTAACACAGATATGCCACCAACCTCTGATTGGATAGGTAAAGAAGGGAGATAATTAGATGTTCGCTCCTTTTGTTCAGGTTTCATGATCGGTGATGGAATTCCTTGACTTTTCTGCCAACCCATTGCATGCAGCTCAGTTCTAATTGTCTCCTTACAGACAGCCACAGTTCCTCTATCAATCATATCCAGCCTTAAGTTTTCTAAACTCCTTCGTTTGTTTTTAGAAACAAGAATAACAAGCCGCCTCCTGTCACCGACAGTCAATTTTCTGGGCCAAACTGCGCCTCCCTGGTGCTCAATGCCATATCCATTTGCAATATTTTTCGAAACACGATAAACAGTGGACAAAGGGATGCCTGTTCTACTTGAAATCACTTTAGCTGATCTGATGTCCTTGTTGTAATACTCTAAAATCAACTTCCTCTTGTCTAAATCATCCATACTGAGGATCACTGAAAATGTCGTCTGCTAGCAAGTAAACAAAGGG